GAAGAGCACGAAACAAAGTAAAAAATTACTCATTTGGAAGCATCTGTAAATAAGAAAAGATCCTTTAGAACAACAACTTTAATGGCATTTTGCGATACACTGGGAAAATATTTTTTGTTATTTTGATATATTTTGTATATCCATAATTGATTATGTAATAGAATTTGCTGTCAGAAAGAGAATATTTTCTTAGGATAGTTGAATTTATGTTAGAAATCCTGATTATTCTTGCATATGAAAAGAAATATGTTAAAAATCACGGTCTTTTACTTCATAATTTGTTTCATTTAGATTCTATCAAATATATCTACGTATGTTTTGCATGTAAAAACATTCTTATTGAATAATAGTATACGAATGATGAGATTGCATCGAACTTATCCTATATGGTTCCATTTACTTCATGTTATTTACTACAGGGATATATTGTCATTTCAATTAGTCGTCTCGGTTTCTTCGTTTCAATCACCAAATGGTAATATCTACACCTTAGACTCAGAACCCATAGGTCCGGGTTGGCGTTTTTGATATGTGGCAACATGCATTTTATCAGTTTTAGCATTGTACATGTTGGCAGACTTTTATTTGATATCATTCTTATTTTAAGAGATGTTAATGATTTTGTCATCAAACAATTGAAAATCCACCTTGATCGATTTTTTTGTTTGATATTTTTGCACAAACGTTTTAATGGGATTCTTTTTTTATTTGCTATTCTTTATTAATTGAAAAAATAGCAAGCATTATCCTAACCATAACGACTCAATATGGTTTATGTACTGGATGCCATTTTGGTATAGTTTAATCGAGCATTTCTTTGCTCCACGCTAATACTAAACGAGATATTAAAACGACACCAGTCCTTGTTCTTATCTTCTGCTTGATGTATTTTATCAATTATTGGTTATTTGTGGCACAAACTCATGATCATCATAATCCCTATGATGATCCATGGTCCATATGGCAACGACTTATATATTTCTATTTTCCATTGACAATGTTTATACTGAGACTATTGGGCTTTGTAAAAGATCGATTGCTTTAAAAGAGACGACTTCGATCACATTGTACTCATTCACTACAAGAATTTTACGCGAATTCATGGATAGAATGGCAAGCAAACTACTCCCAAATGAACGAATGCGAAATGCAGTCAGTAGATTGGAAAGCAATAGGTGCAATGATTGCTATTTTGTCGATTGTGGTAGCTGATTATATCACATAGAACATATTTGTTCTAGTGAGTTTTGCGTTAATTACGACTTTTCTAATCTTGGCTAGTTTTCTTTGTTTTTATTGACATCTATGGTCATAGAATTTTTATTTCAAAATTCTCAACAATCATCGTAACGATGAAGTATCTCCGCACGTTTATAAGGAGGTGTCATTGTTAGCGGGTGACGATGAGTCATCGTTTTGTCGAGTAATATGGACAGATAACTGAATTCATAATAATACGTGAAATCTATTGACTTATTTTGTAGCCATGCAATAGTTTCTTGAGGACGACCTGGAAAATGCATTACGAATCGAAATAGGACAGTGCACAAGTGATTAAGTCGTGTGAAAACCGTGATCATTTCGTCAACATTTTTTACTGTCACATCTAGCTGTGTAACATGGCGAGGTATCATTGAACAAACTTTTTCAATATTGATGTTGCATTCGCTGTTGTCAGCATCATTGCTTCTTCCGAATGGTAGAAGATGAAATGATTGTTAACCAAAATTTCTAGCGCTTATTCAAGTGTTCGAAATACTATCCAGCTTAACTGCTACGACATGTGAAAAATCAATAAGTGACGATAAATAATGAAAAGAGTCAATTAATGATTTAGTGTTGATTCGAACTTCAAATTGAGTAACATTGCGAAATAAATGACAATCGAGCAGTTTTTTCTAGCAAGATAAAAACATATGTATTGATTATCGATATACTTTAGTCAATGAATGGTATTAGTTTTGATCTCGATCGCAAGACTAAAGCTGATTCTATATATCGGTAAAAGACAATATTTTGACTTTATCCATAACCATAATTTCCAGAAACGAGTTATATGAATTGAAATAATTATTGTTTCCGAGCAGCAATTATATCGTATTTGAAAGATACCTTTATTGGANTTTATTATACATTATTCAAACGCAAAAACTGAAATAAATAATATCAAATATTATCACATTTTTATGTAAGTAGTTTTAGACACCATGAGACATATCAATCTTTCATTTAACTTTGATTCTTTATAAGAGTTTTTTTTTGTTACGTATAAGTTCTTTTAGTATAGATAGATGCAAAAATGTTGGCTCTTCCAAGTGACTATGAACTAACTAGTAATTAGCAAATATCTTTCTAATTATATGAGAAAAAAATCGAAAAACTTCAGCATAGACATTACGGCACAAACCGTATCTATTCTAAAATTTTCATCAAGATTGGACTCTAAAAAACTTCCTCATAAAAATCAAAGTTAAATGAAAGATTGATATGTCTCATGGTGTCTAAAACTACTTACATAAAAATGTGATAATATTTGATATTATTTATTTCAGTTTTTGCGTTTGAATAATGTATAATAAATACGGATTATTTTATGCAAAGAAAACAACAAATAATTAAAATATAATATGAGAATATTATTTTATCTTTTATACTTTCTGATGAATGTAAATAGTTCATTTATAGTTGTTAGATTTTTATGTAGTTGTTCTTATATTTGGAAATCTATATCAACGAGTCGTATTTTTGTCCTAAAACTTATTTAATCTTGTTAATAGTTTTTATGTCAATACTGCAATTTCAAATAAAAGTAACATCTGTTTGCATCTTGCATTCTTCTTTTTGACATTATCTTTTACAACATACATTTTTTATGTCGATAGATTCTATCTCTCATACGGTGATGTCAACTTACACCCTATGAACATTTTGGGTTGCAATTTTTTTTCTACAAACTGCTACTTCGATCATCTCTTTCATCTTTCATGCTAGTATTGAACTTATTAGTATACTAATTATATACAAGGACGATTTAGAATTAGTTGAAAGTTATCACTTGGATGTACCACAACCAATTTTCAAGTATGATTTGTTGCTTGAAAATCGTTCTCGATCGATAAAAATATAGTGTTGCAAAATGACGAAAATTGTTTTTCTATATTCTTTTGTATTTTTATTAAATTACTAGTGGAGGTACCTGATAGTGATTGAGATAATGAGATTGGATATAATCTGCTTGTTAGAAAACGACATTTTCTCGATCTTTTAAGGTTCTTAATCTGCAAGATAGTAACATACGCTTAGATTTTACCGTTTTCAACTTTTAGTAATTAATATTTTAAACATTCTTGAAAATTTTTTTCTATTTAATTTTTATTTATGAACTTTTTTAGTAAAACAATAATGAAATAGAGTTTTTATTGTAAAGCTGTTGGATACACAATGTTTTTGGTTTTTGCATCTTGTGCAAAAACATATAAATTCTTCCCAGTTCCCACTCTTGAACAGGTAACATAAAGTTTTCGTTCATTTATTCTCAATGTTCGACTACCAGTAATGAAAAGTCATGTGAAAATTCATCTTATTTTCATTGTAATCAATCTTTAAAATGCATTTCATATAATCGTGTTGGTGATGGATTCAGAGATTGTTTTTATAATGAAGATGAATCATTTCCTACATGTCACCTGAACGATTCAAATCGATTTATGTGTATGTCAGATCCAACCAAGTGTCTGTTGCCCGCAGCAATTGGGAATGGACGTCAAAATTGTCCAAAAGGAAAGGATGAGACAGGTGAAAATACAGGGTATATCAAAATTATAGCCCCCCCTCAGATATACCTACAAAAACGTTTACTTTACTTCAACAACGAATGACATTGATCTACAACTGGCATACGTATGTGAGACTTTACAAGTACTATCTGACACTCACCCACCCACCTTTCGTTTCTTGCTATTTGAAGAAAAAAGTAGAAAATTTCAAAAAATGCCTGTAACATAATTATAGCCCCCCTTGGCAAAAAATATGTTTTCTCTTATTCTAAACCGCATCAAACCTGTACGTTTGACATTTTATTATGGCGCTAACTGTTTTATACCTATTTCATTTTATTTGAGGCTTTGATTGAGAAAATTTTTGTTCAAAATCTCAAGATTTCAGACATTTCCTGATCTTTCGTCGTTGGCTGGTCAACTTTGGCCTAGAGATAATTTCTTCATGATTCTTATCTATTTGAAACTAGAATGGTGGATGTTGTCAGGATCGCCATCTATGATATAGATGGACGATCCTTCACTTTGTTCTCGTTCCTCCTTCTCTAAGATATATACATATGTTTGTTTACTAACAGAGTCATTATTGTCGTGTAATAAAAGTAAAGGTGGGCAAGGACCCTAACAGATGTAGTTTCTTAGAATAATATAAATAGAAGGGAAAAAATAT